CACTCTGGTCCGTCTGACATAGCACTGCTCCTAAACCGCGTTCGCTTGCATCACACTGAATAGTGAAAGGTTTTGCAAAATCCGGTGCCCTCAAGACGGGTTTCTCACTCAATGCGTGCTTCAGCTTCTGAAAAGCGTCTTCCTTTTTAGAGTCCCATTGAATGTTCACAGGTTCGGTCTTGCGTAAACTATCTGTCAAAGGGCTGGCAATCTCGGAGTAATTCGGGACGTAATGCTGATAGTAACCTGTGAGGCCGAGGAATGCTCTCATCTCGGTCTTAGTGCTGGGACGACGATAACCGACCACCGCGGCTACCTTGAGTTCGGACGGTCGACGACGCCCATTTCCTACAATGTGCCCTAAATAGCTTACTTCAGCACAGCCCAAATGACATTTCTCTCTCTTTACCGTAAGACCTGCATTTTTGACCCGTTCCAAAACCATCCGAAGGTGTTCAACATGGTCTTCCCATTTGTCCGAAAATATCGCCACATCGTCTAGGTAAGGCAGCGCAAATTTCTCGAGCCCGTGGAGAACCTTATCCATCAGGCGGCTGAAACAATACGGCGCGTTCTTGAGCCCAAAGCTCATCATCAAAGGACGAAAAGTGCCCAGGGGTGAGATAAAAGCAGCGTATCGACTCGCGCGCTCTGTCAAAGGGACCTGCCAATACCCCCTAACAAGGTCTAACGTAGAAATGTATTTCGCCTTAGACACTGTCTCTACCCTCTCTTCAATGTTAGGAATAGGGTAAGTCTGGTCGACTGTTACAGAGTTCAGGCGGCGATAGTCCACGCATGGCCTTGGATCACGGCCCGGAATCTCAACCAAAATCAAAGGCGAGGTGAAATCACTGTCTGCTTCGATGATAACACCTAGGTCGATCATGCGGCGAATTTCGGCCTCTAGTATCTCTCTCTGTCTAGGTGACACCCGATACGGCTTACAGCTGATCGGCTTGTTAACCGTCAGCTCAATGTCGTGCTAATCACATCCGTTTTGCCTGGCTTCTCGGAGGAAAACGGTAGCGAATTCCTGTACTAAAAGCTCTAAATCTTCCTCTTGAGCCTTACTTAGGGTGTTCCCTGTGTCTACCCTATCTGACAATGTGCTGCTGACCGTGCCATCGGAAAGACAAAGGATTTCCGCGCCCTCGTCCTCAGGAACATTGAGTGCAAGGTTTACTACTGCTTTTCGTCGCATGTAGGGTTTCATTAGGTTACTGTGATACACTTTGGGGCATTTCCGGCCCCACTTTACCTCGTAGTTGGTGTCTGAAAGCACTGACATCACTGTCGCTGGTCCCTCCCATTGTACGTCCAGCTTGTTTTTTCTTGAAGGGCACAACAGCATCACCTCATCGCCCACTCTAAAGACTCGCTTTCGAGCTGACTTATCGTAACGGGCCTTGGAAAGCGCCTGTGCTGCGCGCATGTTGCTCTCCACCACTTCGCGTGTAGTCCCCAGTCGCCCCAATAAATCCAGTACATAGGAAACCACATTAGGGTCCTCCCCATATCCAGTCCATGACTCTCGTATCAAGTGCAGCGGACCTCTCAAGTTCCTGCCGTAGACAAGTTCAGCCGGACTAAAACCCGTACTCTCGTGTGGGGCCGACCTCAGAGAAAACATCGCAGCTGGTATACACCCCTCCCAGTCACTTTTATGCTCAAAGCACAAAGCTCGCAAAACGCGTTTCATGACCGAGTGCATGCGTTCCACAGGGTTCGACTGTGGATGGTGAATAGAGCTATGCGCGATTTTTATCCCGCAGCGTTCTAGGAATGTAGTCGTAAGGCAGCTTGTGAACACACTTCCGTTGTCACACTGTATCTCCGAGGGAAAACCCACCCGAGAAAAAATAGACAACAATGCGTCCACCACGCATACTGAACTCAACTCTTTCAGTGCGATGCCTCCGGGAACTTGGTGGCAACGCACAGCGCGGTCAGGACGTACCGATATCCTGATTTAGATGGAGGCAGAGGCCCCACGATGTCAATCACGAGCCGACGGAAGGGTTCTGTGACTATTGGCACTAGTTTCATTGGTGCCTTCCATTTGTCTGTTGATTTTCCTATCCGCTGACAAGTGTCGCATCCACGGACAAACATCTCTACATCCTTCCAGCACCCGGGCCAGTAGAACTCCTGAGCCAGCTTAGCTTTCGTTTTCTTTATACCTAAGTGGCCCGCCCAGGCGTTGCTGTGGGCCAGGTCGAGAATGTTCCGCCGGTATTTTAGTGGAACTACCACTTGGTTGTAGACCCGCCCTTTAGCGTTCTCATACCTGCGATGCAACACCTCGTTTTGGGTGTAGAACGAAACGTTCTTCCTAGAGTTACCTTCCTTATGTATGGCATCTAGCAGCATAGAGAGTGCGAGATCCGCCTTTTGATCGACCACTAGCGTTGCACGGTCGGTTCTGGCTAGCTGACACCAACTGGTGGACGCGGGTGTTAACACCGAGCCTGTCACCAAGTCCTTGTTTTCGGGCGTTAGAGATATTTCCTCGCTGTTGCCGACCATAGCCCCAGTTTCCGTCTCGACAACTCGCATGGCAGACTCATTTTTCGTCGCAACTACCTCAGGTTTTCCTACACTGCCCTCGGACGTCTGTTCCCCAGAGGGTGAGCTGCTCAGCTGTTGCGTCAGCTCGCGCGCCTTCGAACGGGTAAGGGCCATGCAAGCTATTTCGGTGGCAAATGATTCTCCACGTGTTTTTAACATTTCCTCAGACTTATTTGAAAATAGGTAAGGGAAGTGCTCCGGAAGGTTGGCTGAAATTGCTGCTTCCGTACACAATTGGCCGAAAGGGCCCTCGATTACAACCCTCGCTATCGGTAGGCAGACGCTTTGCTTTTCTGCCACTTGCCGAATCCAGGCACACTCTCCTATATAGTCTTCGGAAGATACGCAACTTGGATGCGCTACATCCATTGTGGCCGCCGAGTCCCTCAATACCCTACACATTCGGCCGTTCACTGAGAGTGTCCTCATGTAAGGCTTCAACAGCTTTAAGCTATCCTCTGACTCCTGAATTGTGGCAAATGCCATGTGCCTCTTACAGCTCCTGGCCATGTGGCCCTTTTCTCCGCAGCTGTAGCAAACAACTGGCTTCCGCGCTTCTAACGCATGCGCTATGTCACCAGGCGCCTTTGAACCTGATGAAGGTGCCGCCTTAGTCCCCTCACTGTCCTTTCCCTGCTGATTGTCTAATAACTTGGAATTTTCGGGTTTCCAGTTATTTCTTGCAAACCTCTTGCGTCCCTGGTTTCCCGACCAGCTTTCTACCTTTTCATTTTTTTTCCGAAGTTCGTGGTGTATTGCGGAGACTACGGCGTGAGCAGTAATCTTCGGCGAGTTCTGCTGCCCTGTTCATGTCTACGTCTTTCATCCTATCCTGCACCCAAAGCCTTACCTCCTCGGGAATTCCCCGGTAAAACTGCTCAAGTACCATCAACTCAATGACCTTGTCATGGTTGCCATAGACTTGCGCGCTTTTGAGCCACTCTTCAAAGTTGGCTCTAATTTGGTAGGCATAGTCTGAATGAGATTCGTTGCCCCTCTTAGAGTGCCTGAACCGCAGGCGGAAATCCTCTGTCGATAGGCGACATTTTCGTAGCAATGCAGCCTTTACCCTGTCATACACCTCGGAGTCCTCTTTATTCATTCTTGCGATAACATCGGACACTTCGCCTGGTAGTACGCATATCAGTTTTTGTGGCCAAGTCTCCCTACTAAACCCTGCATTTTCGCATGCTCGCTCAAAATGCACGAGGTATAATGCAATGTCGTCACCCGCCTTGAAGGTGTGGATTAGATCCTTTATCTTTGATTCTCCACCCCCTGAATTTTGATTTCCCACGGACATACGAAGCTCCAGTTCTTTCAGACGGATTTCATGTTCTTTATCCTCGCGATCCCTCCTTATTTCCTCCTCTCTTTGTTCACGGGCTAAGCGCTCACGCTCCTCTTTCTTTGCCAAAATGGTTTCTCTGGCCTCAATGGCCTCTTCTAAACTCACTTCCTCTTTTCCCAAGTGCTCCAAAATTTGTTTTCTTTTAACCGAGCCGACCGAAATATTCAGCTCCTGACAAATTTCGAGGAGTTCTTGGACCTTAAACTTCTCCATCTTAGATATGCACACCGTTTCTCTTCTAAGGTAATTTTGCCCACGAGCCACCCAATTCTTGGTCTGCGAATCAAAATTTACCACAATCACCCTACCACGTTACCGACCATCTGCGCTAACGAGTCTGGCGAAAAGAAGAGCAAACACGCGGCACTCACCACTTCGATGCAGCCGACGCAGGCGAATCCCATAAGCTGCCAGCCACTGTTGCGCCTTTGGGTAGCGTGGTGCGGACTCGGGCCATCCGAGTCCCCGGAGAGGACGAGTAGAGAAGCCGGAGAAGGAGAAAAAAATGTTTATATACAGTATTTACATGGTAGCGTGGTACAACATGAAAAGAGAATCACACACGAGCGCCTCTGCGCTAGCGTTTTTATACATCGTCCGCCTTCCCAAGATCCCTTGCAAAGAAAATTTATGCGCAGGATACTCCAATGAGATCGTCGTCTTCCTCTCCGTCCCCGAAGAGGGAAAGCCAAACACCGCCTCCCTCTGAACCTAGGAAAGGGGCAAGACATGCCCAGTTCGCTGTTTGGTGAGGGAGACCCCACGCGCCAGCGTGGCACCACAGTGAGATGACGTGGAATCCCATGCGCAAAGTCGCTCCCTGATGCAGCCAGGTTGACTCAAGCAAGGCAGAATACCCCGTACAGCTGCTGGGTCGACGCTGCTTCGGAGTGTTGCTCTCGGCGGCTGACAAAAGCTTGGCCAACGACTTTTGTGTCAAGAGGAGCCGGCGACGTGGTTTTTCCAGATTGTCCGCGTCCGTCGCCGTCCCGGTGCAGGGTTGACTCATCAACAGCTGCCAGGTGCCAGCAGGCCGCGAAGACCACGTGGAACTTGGGCGAGGCACAACAGTGTCATGACCCCTTTAAGGCAACTTATTTCTGTGATAATTGTAGCGATAACCGTGCAATAACTCAAATATTTTAACATGAATTATTTATTTTTGTGTTTTCATGGTTATATTTGGACATGACAGTTTTCCCTGTAATGTATCTGTTGTGTCACGGGTGATTTTTTTCTTGTTTGTTTAGCTTAAGAAGATGCTATGTACATAAGTTCTGTAAGCAATAAAATGCATTTACAACCCACCTTCACCTTGTACGCCTCAAGTGCTGTTCACCACTTTGTCCTGCCAAGGCACCTGACCGTCTGTGACGAAGTAGTGCGCCAATCTATCTCGCACTTCCTTGGCATACCTACAACGCATAAGTGCCATGTGAAATTTCTGTCGGCACAGCCATGATGGAAGACACACACTGTAAAAGGAGCATGCTGAGCTTGAAAATCTCACGCATAGTTGCATTTCAGTGTCGTAGTCATGACGCTACATTGCCAAAGTGTTCCTCATTTTTATGTATTAATGAGCGCTACCTCTGCTGTCTATTTTCTACGACATCATCACAGCTTCTGATAGAATGCATATTTGCCGACTAACTTTAGAAATTTCGATATGTCAAGTTTCATGGCAGCCAAGGTCAGTAACTGCTCGCATTTGGACAAAACCATTGTAAACTTTTGAGAGAACGATTGCCCTGTACAGTTAAACCAAATTAGGGCTGGTGCACACCGGCGACTAGGAGCGGTCGCGCGACCATTTGCGACTGGTCGCGAACGGTCGCACTGCTTGTGCACTCTGCAAGCTGTCGTATATGCAGTGAATATTTCTGTGCCTACACATTTTAGCGAATCATAAGCATGCATCAACCTTTTCATGGAAGAGCGTACGTGCTCATATCACTCAGGTTGAAGAAGGGCAACCTAAACGTACCTGTAGCAATTTCCTTAGCATGGATTTCTGAAAAGCTGTAAATTCAAGGAGAACCTATTTCGCAAAACGTACATCACTCAAGTCTATTGTTCAAATTGCTTTCACACAATGTGCTACCGTCCACAATACGTTTTGCCACTGCACTACTGTCCACAGTGTATTGGGTCACTGTCATTTTAACAGAACATACGTATAATTGTAGCAAGGTGCAGGGGTTAAACGCTGCCCATGTTTGTGAGAAATTTTGCATGTGTACTTGTGCAAACACACACCGTCGTGCATGCAGATACATAAAGGGTGGTTGGTTGAACTTCCTCCCTCCCCGATGCTGAAAATATTTTTGGCATGAATACTCTTTGAGTGCCTCGAACAGCACATCAATTTGTCCTAACAATTTGTGCATAATTGTACTCGCAAAGCTTAGGATTGTGTTTCACTTATTTTATAACATCATTAATAATTGCGTTCTATATAGTACCTGTGCATCAGGATAACAGAAAACGGGAACTGACCGGTCCACAATGTAATGTCATTGTGTAGCGCAGAATCCCATTTTCTGGGATTTTACAAGCGGAAACCACGTACTGATTACGCAATAAGCCACAACAGATGGTTTTGAAATATTCACCACCTGAGATTCTTAACGTACGTGCGCAAGAAACGCGCCAACTTAAAGTGCATTTCGCCTCCACCTAAAGGCGATCGATGCGGCCGTAATCAAACCCGTCACCTACGCGTAAACTGCCGGCCGCAGTAACGACTGCATCATCGAGCCAGCATACGTCATAAATGCAATTCGTTCTATCCGCCCAAGCAAAACTTCCTTACAAGCGAAGCGCAGCCGCAAGCCACAGCATATTGATCTTCAAACCACACGCTCTTACCTAATGGTCATGGCCAGGCAGTCGTGCGCCGAAATTGTAGGCCGGTGGTTTGTGTCCTGCTTGGATATTGCGGGGCGCAGCAGTTCGAGCACAGTATCGAACGTTCGTGGCGGCATCCGCATGAAGCTAACCCCCAAAAATAGAATGAAATAACATGTTATGCACTATCTTATAAGCACGTAAAACAACCATAAACTTACTCTCGGAAATACTCCTCGTCGTGCGAGCGCAAGTCGGGAAGCAGACGCCCTGTGTGGCCAGGCACTTCTCGCGAGCGAAGGGACGGTCTCACCCACCACCGCCTTGCTTGCTTTGAAGGCTTTTGTGCTTCCAGCGCTGACACGTTGGCTGAGCACATCAGCACCGCCACAACCTCTTCATCACTCGACTCGAAGACTATGATGCTGCCGGGAGAACGCACACACACACAGCCGTCAAAAACAAACGCATCGCGCTTAGCGGGCTCCGTATCTGATCAGCTGATCGTCGCCGGTCGCCCAAGTTCTCGTTGATAACGAGATCTGTACGTGACTCTCCGGGTTTGCGACTTCCGGTCGCTCGCATGAAGCCTTGCCGGTGTGAACGTCGCTCGCAATTTGGTCGCCAGTCGCAAATGGTCGCGCGACCGCGGCTAGTCGCTGGTGTGCACCAACCTTTACTGTTGGGACGCTCTCCTGCGAGAAAAAAAAAAATGTGCGAAAGCTCAGACTCAAGTTAGAGCTAACTGCAAATTTTTTTTAGTTGAAACAAAGAATAATTTCATAAAACTTTCTCATTTTGTGGGAATGCACGTCGCTAATAAATGCTCTATTCAGAGCATTTTTGCAAGGACCACATCAATGTTTATTTTACGGCTCAAAATTGGCCCCAACTATTTCGCCCTGTATGTGGCTTTAACTATTTTTCACGCATCGTATGACTACATCGCCATAGTTTAACATAATATATGCCATTTCTTTAAAAGTAATCTTTCCATAAAAAAGACCCAATACGGAGCATATTTCTTATATTTAGATCCATATTAAAAAAAACGAACGGAAGCGTCAAAGTTTGTAAAACACTTCAAAAGTCTAAAGCCTATCAACGTTCTGCAGAAAACAAATTGAGCCAGCGTAAATTAGAGCAAACGATATTTTAATAATTTATTTTCTGAGCCAGTACTTTCGAGCTTCTCGAAAAGCTTCCCATAAGCATAACACTGCTGATTTTTTTTTTTTGCAAGAACATGTTTTGCGGAAGACTTTTCTTTTTAGATAGATAGTCCTTAATCTTTGTTTTCTAGCAAATCGCACATGGTCAAGCGCCAAGGTTGGGAAAGTTGGCGTGGAATAACCCACAATGCTTTAAAATATCAATGTGCGGTTGTGCCAAGTTTCAAGGTTGAATTCACATAATATATTCCCACTTAACCTTTCCTTTTCGCTAGAACGCTTAAAAGTTGGTCACATGATACTAGATTTTTTTAACAAAATATTTTACTGAAATCACTCTAACACAATTATCTTTCAGCACCATTTTTGTTCTTTCAACAGTATGGCTTGTGGTCGAATTTCAGGATGGGAAATTTCACTAGGAACGACCAATAATGGGTCATTTCCATGTCGGCTACATGTCACGACTCGGGGCCTAAGCACAAAGCTCCTCCCAAGCCGTGGCACGGGGTTGGGCCTCTGGTGTATAGCTTGCGCCAATCGCCGGTATGAAGGAGCCAAGATCCTTTTCCAAACAAAAAACAAAAGCTTTAATAAGGCGGTTAAACAAAGATAAAGGCAATTTCCAACAAATGAAAAGATGATATTTGAAACGAAGAGTGCAGTTCGTTCTAAAACCGAGTTGAACTAATTATACATTTCATAATACAAGTGAAGCATGCATGAAAGTCGCAAAATGTGGAGATGATGCTCAAAAAACAGGTGGATGATCAAACAGCGAGAGCCGAACCGATAACTAGAGTTCGCAGTCCGCCAAGATCAAGCGACTAACACACGTAACCGGACGCAGCAGAGTTATTTAGAGCGGCGCCGTTTCGAAGTGCCTCTTGAGGATGGCGAGACGGGTCGGCGGCGACTCCCCGAAGACGGGGCGGGGCGGTGTTGGATTTCCGGACGTATTGTTTGCTGCGCTGTGTTCCGGGAGTTGCCCAGCGTGGATGTCTTCTCCGGTGCCGAGCAGACTGTCGAAGCATGAGATCGGCCCGGTTTTCAAAAGGTTCTCTGGGCGCCAGACACAACTTCCAGTGTATACTGTCGATGCACCCTTCAAGTGGTCACGTACGCACTCGTTGCTTTTGTGGTTCACACCTCACTACGCACACACAAAGAACCAACCACGTGGCACACGGTCTAACACGTAGCACAGACGCAACGCCGTGTGTCTGTGCTACGTGTACAAATATACAAAACAAAAGCACGTGTTTTGATACGTTCACCTTCACCGGCGTGCAATTCTATAATATACAAAACAAAAGCACATGTTCTGACACGTAGCTCGGATGCTCCATTCTGTGTTTCGTATACTCTGCAGGCAAGCCATATATCATTTCCGAGAAAACAGTTTCAGAGTTCCGCAAGTCAAAAGCCAAGGTTCTTAGACCTCAAGGTTCTCAGAATCTTAAGGTCAAAAATCGGTACAGCTATGTATATTCTCTACTGCTAATGCTAACACGTACTAAGTGGTGCACATGCGCCCATGATGCCAGTGGAAGCCGACCATCGATTCCAGCGAAGACACTTCTGCAATGACCCGAGTGAGGGCCACCATGGCTCTTAGTCGGTTCAGCCATGTTCGGACATAGAGGTACCATATGCCCTACGGCCATACAAGTGGGTTGCACGTACTTGTGGCACCGCATTCCTAGACACGCAATATAGCACGTTCGCCCTTGATACTTTGGGGAGGAGACAGCCTTTCCGGGCGAGCAGTTTTTGAGGCTGTACAAGACCAGAGCCTCTAGTTCTTACGAGCTGTGTCCATGTTATATAGGATTTAGAGGTGTCATGTTCCTACGGCTCTCGCTAACAAAGGCCAATGACCGCACGTGCAATCCTGGCACACCATTCTTCGAGATGAATTACATCAAGTTCACCTTGAACGCCAGCGGACTGCACGTGCAATCACGGCACACCATTCCTCGAGATGAATTACATCCAGTTCGCCTTGGACGCCAGAGGAAAAATCGCTTTTGACGGCACATCTTAGGACATTATGCGCAAAAAATATTAATAAGACCAGGCGACACTTGTGACAATCCAAAGTGGTAATAAAAAGTTACTGTAGTGGAAATCATTGCCCAGGTGTGCAGCCGTACCCCCCCCCCCCCCACCACCACCAAATGGCGGCTGCGGCCGCCGTCTTACGAGGGGCATGGTACACTGTCAACGTTCGGCGATTAAAACAGAGCATTTTTTTTTCGCACGCCCCATGAGTTAATGTGACAACTTTTTCTGGTCAGATAGTGCCCAAGTGCGTCTTAGTTTTACTAGTTTTCCTTAGTAAGCCTCTAATTTGAGGTAACGTTTATTAGAAATTAAATCACTGATACTCTTTTTTATGCGTTATTTCGTCGGAAACAACTATATTTTAAAATATAGTTAACGTAGTGTTTACACGAACAGTTGAAAGCCTCTTGTTCTCTAAGTGAGTGCTACCAGAAAAGAGCACGTTTACGAGATATTTGATATGCAAAAGGTGGCTTCACTTTAGCTGGCCAGGCATCGCGGGAGCTTCCACTCCAGCAATTTTCTTAATCCTCATTGGTTGGGTCAGTAGTACAGTGTGCTAGTATCCAGAAGGCTGGATTTGGACACCACTTGACAGCATCATCGCCATCGCTACTCTTAATCCAACGTTATCCAATCCGGTTCATATCCGCTTGCCGTGAGCCAATGGTTTCGAAAACGAAGAAGTGATTTGATGATTCACGTGGCTCGTTCTTTTCTTCTGCAGCCTTAGCAAGAATAAGGTCAGCTTATATTCGCTTAGAATAATTAATGGTGCCCCATTAGGAAATTGGAAGTGTGATTCACAAAATTTCGTTGCCGCATTTCGTCTCTTAATTTTTATTTATACAGGTCTGGTCAGATGCCATCTCTGCTCTGCTTTTACTGTCAAGAGCCTGATAATATTGATATTTTTTTACTTACATGCTGTCGTTTTACCAGCAATAGGGAAAACATATTTAGAAATATTATTCAGAAAATTAAGCATTACTCTTAATTCTGAAACCATTCTTTCCTTGGGGCTAATTCTCTGGGCCACAGCAACAGGTACGTCTGCATAGCAGTCTGCGAATTCCTTAGAGATATGAAAAGATTTTTTTTGTTATAGGTTATCCCTAATAAAAGTCTAGTTCTTTGAAATTCAGTTATTAATTTATATTACCATTCTGTATCTACTTTATTCATACGTGACTTTAGGATTGCTAAATTTTACATTCCCTAGATATCTGTTTTATTGATTTTCCTTAATAAAATTTGAAATTTTATCCTCAATATAGTAGCCGTCGGTTTAAGGGCCAACACCCCATAGTGGGTACGAGCCAAGCATAGGCACAAGTAAGCAAGCAAGCTTGTGTAGATGGACTAACACTCTTGTTTTGAACGATACCGACTTGTCATCGCTGCACACTAGTGAACCACGAGCAACGCTAACAGTTCTTCCTGAACGACGGATTCGCCGCTTACGCCCGGAACACGCCGACATTGCCACGAACCTCTTCGGCACATTTAGTGGCGAAGATTGCTCTCTGCGCATCTTAGGCAACGATGATTGGATTTTAACCTTCTCATTATATCTATAAGGTCGCCAGGTGCTGAACAGGCCATAATAGAGGAGGCGCTTTCGAAGAGGAGTTCAAGCGTGAATACCTGAACGAGCGCTTTGATGTGTATAGTGTGGATGTCGGTTCTCGGTCTGCGTTGGACTTTGAAGAAAACTTCATGGATGCTGCTGCAGAGATAACTGAACATAATGAACATCAGTTCAACTGGGAACATCTTCTTATTGTCTACGAAGAACCTTTATCCTGTGAAAGTGCACAGTATAGCGAAATCAGTTGGCCATAGTTTAAGGAGTTTTCAGTCTGCACCATGGGCTCGGATCTTGCAGCTTTGGAATCCAGAATGATTTCTCGCTGAAGTCCTCATCAACTCTTCACCACGAAGTGTCCCCCATTCTTGCCAAGACCAGTCGTGGTCCCCGTCGTATGAATGGAAATTTCGAACGCTGTCAGAGTAGGGGAAACTAAGAGTTTAAGTCACCAGTTGCGCCTCGGAAGATGTCGTCCATAAGTAGTCCAGATCTAGGAACACTTAAGAGCAAGGATGAGGACAAGCGACTCCTGGTAGCAAAGAAGACGTGTAGATGTGACAAAAACCTTGTTCACGAAAAAAACTATGAAGCCACGAAAGATGGCCAGCTGCCCGCCAGCATGGTT